GGGGGTTCCATGGATTTGTTTTAGGGATCCATCCCCCACCCCAGCTCACCTGCTCTGGACTCTTGACCAGGGAATAAATGCTTGTGGAGGATTCCTCGCCCGTTGGTTTGGCTTTAATTTCGGTAGGGCTGCGCTGAGGGGGGGAAAAAAAAAAAGAATTAAAAAAAAAAAAATCTTTCAGGGCTCGGTGTTGGGAAAAAAAAGATCCCAAATGCAGAGAATCCCTCAAAGATCCAACTCTGGAGCATCCTGGGATGTGGGAAGGGTCCCCACCCATGGAATGGGATGGTTTTAAACCCCCTCCCAACCCCAAAAAATCACTTTTTTTTTTTTCTCTGATCCCTCCCTTTGGGGAGTTTTTGGGGCTGGCCACCTCCAGCTGTGGCCTTGGAATTCCCAAAAGGATCCAGGGATTGTCCAGCTGTCCCCGGGGTGTCCCCAACCCCGGAGAGACCCCGGAGGATCCCTGGACTCACCTGCTGGGAAGGGCCGACCTCGGCGTACAGGGTCGTGGATGTGACCTCTGAAATGGGGGGGAAAAAGCAGGAATTTGGGAATTTGGGATGCAGGGAATCCCCCCCCGGAGGGAATCCCAACCTCAGGAGTTCAGGGTTGGGTGAAACCTTGACCCCCAAACCCCTCGGAGCTGCTGGGGTGGGAATTGCTCCTCATCCCCCCCTCCCTGGGCTCTGTGGGATCGGGGTGAACTTCCAGCACCAAGGACAGGGAAAATCCGTTTTTTTTTTTTTTTTTTTTTTTATAAATTTGTTAAAATCCCAAATTCGTGGCTGCTTTTGGAGGGCAAAATCCATTCATTTCTCCTTCGTGTGGTGCCCTCATTGCTCATGGAACAGAGTGGGGACAGGGGGATTTAAATCCTTTAAAATCCCATTTTTGGGGTCAGAGGGGTCGGGGTCCTTCAGCTCCAACCCCAAATCCTGGCACTGCTGATGATTCCCCTGACCCCAAATGCAATTCCCTGGCAATTCCCACCGGGAAAAAGGGCAGGGAACTGCCCCACAACCCCACCTGTGTCCGTGGGCTTGGATTTGGGGAGAGAGAATTTCTTCCAACCTGAGGGAGATGAGACAGAATCAGAACCCCAAATTCGCCCCAAATCCGCCCCAAATGCCCCCAATTCCCCCCCACCCTGGCTGTGTCCCGTCCCGGGGCTCCCGGGCTGGTTTTCCGCGCTCACCTCTGTGTTTGTAGAGGATCAGGAGCAGAACGAGCAGAGCCGATAAAATCACCACGACCCCAAACCCGGCTGTGAGCGCCGTCGTGATCCTGCTGCTGGAGAGGGCGCCTGGAAAAGGGAACATCCCAGAATAATCCTGGCTCTTCCTGGCACGGGGAATTTGGCCTCGGATCTCTCCCCA